AATTTGCCCCAGTATTGAATTATGATAATACTGAAAATCTTTCGATGGTGAGGTATGAATAGATTAGCACGAATAGAGGGATGAGGTACAGTTCTAAAGAAACTTGTATGGGAGATGCTCTGTAGCAATTTACTGGAGACTCAAGGTAGATAGACGATTTTTCAAAAGGGTGCCTCAATGTCGAGTTACAATGAACTGAGACATGAAAGAGCTATAAGTGAACTTTAAATCTGAACTTCTGAAAATTGAGTTGAGTTGAGTTGAGTTTTGAAAGTGAATCCTTGACGTAGCTAGTGATGCTTGACATTGCACTAACTTGCCCTAGTTTGCTGCTTAGAGGGAGTTCCTCGTTGTAATGCTGTCCTGCAAAACATGTAAAAGGGTGAAACGTACCTGTTGCGGTTCAAAAAATATAAATTGAAATAGTAATGTAAGGAGTAAAGTGTAGATGTTCAGACGACTGTTGACGCCTCTTTTTGTGTTGTGAGTGTGATGTAGGTAAAAGTAACTTGTAATGTAGAGGCCCTCGACTGGCGGGGCGGTTGTAATGTAAAAGCCTGTATCTGGCTGTGTAAAGCTTGTAATGTAGAGACCCTCGACTGGCGGGGCTGTTGTAATGTAAAGCCTGTATCTGGCTGTGTAAAACTTGTAATGTAAGAGCCCTCGACTGGCGGGGCTGTTGTAATGTAAAAGCCTGTATCCGGCTAGGTAAAGCTTGTAATGTAATGCCTCCGGCTGGCGGGGCTGTTGTAAGGTAAAAGCCTGAATTCGGCTGTGTAAATCTTGTAATGTAAAATATTATTGTTAGCGCATGATAGTATCGCTATGCTTGCATGCCCCCGGTCGGTGGAGCCTTGATGACGTCGCTATAATGTTAGTCTCCGATTGACGGAGTGTTGCTTCTTTGCTTATATACAGGCTCCGATTGGCGGAGTTCGGTCAATGTTTGCTATGTACAGCCTCCAATTGGCGGAGTTTGACGATGTTTGTTATGTATGGCCTCCGAGTGGTGGAGTTTAACGACGTTTGCTATGTACAGCCTCCGGTTGGCGGAGTTTTGACAATGTTTTGCTACAAGCTCCAGTTGGTGGAGTTATTTTGACAGAAAATTAAACATCCTGTTTTCCTACGAGGGCCCTCTTTTCTTTAGTATTTGATCCGGATCTTGAGCATACCTGCAAAAATTCAAATGAAATATTCTTAGACATAAGATGCTAGTTGAAGCACTTGGGGAAGATAAAGTAGGGAAAGAGTATTTTGGCTCATGATTGTGAGAAGTCGAGTGGCGCTTCCTAGCATGCCCCGAGACTTGATGTTATTTTCTTGATTCCTGCGTTCCTGCACTCAAAGAAAATTTTAGTTTGGGAGGGGGTGTTGATTTGTATCGACTCTCAGACTGAAGCCTCGTCACTAGAATCCTTCGACGTCTTCTCAGTACCGCACATAGTTTCTTAACCTAGAGACTTGGTAGGTAGATGAGTATAAAAATATTGTTGGCAATAATTAGCTTGTTTTTCCAGAAAATAAGTATACGTATATTAGGTGTGTGTATATATATATATATGTATATATTGTAATTCTCCAGCGTTTTTAGATTATGAAATGTTCCGAAGTCCATCGAGCTTTCCATTTTGTTGACTATATCCAACATAGTCCTCCTGCAGCTTTTAACCTTCTGATGAAGCTTTCCTAGCTCTTGTGTAGACACTGTGACGATCAATATTCTTCAATATTTTGAGGTTACGCTAACTTATGAGGAATGTTTCCTAAGGGTATGCAATAACGTAGTTCGAATACAAGTGGGAGAAAATAGAAGTATGTAATGCAATGACCGAGCTTGACTCAAGCTGCCTATGTATCCAAGTGGAATCAGGTCGTAACGTAGTTCGAATACAAGAGGAAGGTGAAAAATATGAAATGCAATGACCGGGCCTGACTCAGGCTGCCTACGTATCCCCAAAATAGGAATCAGATCATAACGTAGTTCGAATACAAGTGGGAGAAAATAGAAGTATGTAATGCAATGACCGAGCTTGACTCAAGCTGCCTATGTATCCAAGTGGAATCAGGTCGTAACGTAGTTCGAATACAATAGAAAAATAAAAGATGCAAGGGACCGAATCCGACAAGGATTGCCTACGTATCCCACCAAGGGAATTCAGGTCGAGCGTAGTTCTAAATACATAGAAATGATGATTTTTGGGTTTTCTAAGGGAGACCGAATCCGATGTGGGTTGCCTACGTACCCCACCGTGGGAAGTCAGGTCTAGACGTAGTTCTGTTACAATAGGAAATGCAAAAGTACACAAAATAAGCGCTAATCTTGAGGTCTTCAGATGTAGTATTTCTTGATGGCGTCTGAATTGATTGGCTTTGTGCTCACTCTGCCGTCCATTTCTGCTAAGATTACCGCGCCTCCTGAGAGTACTCTATGAATCATGTAGGGTCCTTGCCAATTTGGTGCAAATTTCCCTTTGGCTTCTCCTTGATGAGTAAAGATTTTCTTCAATACTAACTGCCCCTGTGTGAACTGTCGAGGTCTAACTTTCTTGTTGAAGGCTTTGGTCATTCTGTTCTGATAGAGTTGTCCATGACAAACCGCGTCCATCCTCTTTTCATCGATGAGCATCAACTGTTCACGCCTGCTACGTATCCATTCTGCATTGTCGAGACCAACTTCTTGGATAATCCTTAAAGATGGTATTTCCACCTCAGCAGGTATTACTGCTTCTGAACCATAAACCAACATATAAGGAGTTGCCCCAGTTGATGTTCTGATTGTGGTGCGATAACCGAGCAAAGCATATGGTAGCTTCTCATGCCATTGCCTATGACTGTCTACTATCTTCCTTAAAATCTTCTTGATGTTCTTATTTGCAGCCTCGACTGCTCCATTCATCTGTGGCCGGTAAACCGTAGAATTTCGATAAGCAATCTTGAACCTTTCACAAGTTTCCTTCATAAAATCGTTGTTGAGGTTGGCTGCATTATCCGTTATGATTGATTC